CTACGTAAGTTGGGTAAGTCATTTGCACGTTGGCGATTCAACGAGCCGGAAATTGCGGCTGCGTATAATTTACTCTTCTGCCCAATGAAACCATGTCAAATATGAATAAGTGATCACAACTCAAAAGTCCGTTGACACACCCTCCTGAGCACACAAACGAAGATTGCATGTAAACCGACTTTTGAGTTTTGATCACCCATTGTCATTTGACACAGGTTCATAAGGTTAAACCGCAAATGACCTGCAGCTGTGATTGCTACTTTGCAGTGTGTTGCTTAGTAAATCACACGGTTTTGAGCAATGTCCAATGAAAGTATATCATAAGACGTCCGCGTCGTGTGTATATGAATGATGATTAATAGCCCCTTAGTCTGTCATTTGTCGTCACATTCCATATCACGAACGACTAAATGATTAAGTTTCAAGTGTTACCACACAACCAGATCACTTCCAACGTCTCATGCATTGGTGGAAGAGACCAATGTCCCCAGCCCCTACTGGAATATTTCACTAGAGTGATGGTCCAGCTACGGTGACAACCAAGGAAAATTCGGTTTCGTTGATTGCGAGAAGTATCTTAGTAACAGCTCAAGCCGATGACCTGATCTGGTCATTTCCAGTTTTGCTAGGTTATTTTATGGACATCAATGAAGTCGTGCTCATCTGGCTTCAAAAGTAGTTATGCTTTACCAAAAAATAGACCGACCACTGAGATTTGTTTGCACCACAAGTACACACTACTGCTACTACTACTCTCTCCCATCCTCATTCACTTTCGCGCACTGTTATCTAATATCCAATGTAAATTTACACATTGTTGTTCTTGTCTTATATTGCAATACATATAAATGACATGTTTTGCATTGCCATCGAAGAGTGAATTAAATTCTAGCTTATATTCCTGCATTATTAATCCAAAAATGGGAGGTTGTAACCGTGTAAGGATAGTTTTATGACTAGCAGAAACCTTATTTATCGGTGTTTATATCCTAGTTCGTTCAATAATGTCGCATTTACGTCAGACCACATTACCGTTACATTGTACTTCACTTGGAGTGTATTTTCCCTTGACCATTCGCATTCGACTCAGCTACTTGTGAGTAGTGTTGTCGGACAAGCGATGTTGATTCGAACTGAATATCCATCTGACTCTACACACGTACAATCCTCAGCCCATCCAATCAACCCTACACTCCGAAAGACTATAATTTTTCAACTTCAAGTGAATCCGTTGTAACTTCAAGTCGATCTAACTGATCGCACTCCACGTAATTATTCGGCCGTCAAATGTCACCGACTAGACCGGGTCTGTCTGACGGGGTTTAGACCCCGTCCAATCCGACTGAACTAACTTCTCCGTAGACAAACAAAAGTACTTTTCGAGTGAGCTACAGAGTGAGGATGGATGTTTTTTTTGAGGGGGGGGGGAGGGGGGCTGAGTCGGATCGCTCTCCCCCCGGTACCACTCGCAAATGTTATGTTCGTGATCGTTGATCGAGTGTGCGTCATAGATACGAATGAACGAATCCGGAGTCAATTGAACTCTGTCGGTAGGGTAAGGAAGTGAATCACGTAAAGATGGATCGATAAGTCGGTCACCATGCCCAGATGTGAATGTGAGCATGATTTATCGCCTGGGTGCAGTCAGTCTAAGCCCTCAATAACCCAATGAGTAAATACGAGTGAGGCCGAGTTTCTGTCGAATAAAACCGATTCCTGTGAATCAAAGGCGATTGCTTACGTATTCTGACATTGAACTGCACCCTTGATTAGATAATTAGCAATGGTAATAATGATGAAAGAAGTAACAGTACTTCACCTGAATAGTAAAATCAAATTCGAACCTACTCACTAGCTAACAGAAACGCACACTTGACAAGGTACTTAGCAGGCATAGTGTGATGGAGGCGACCACTGCAGTTAATTTCTTCCATCGAGGATCAAAGATGAGTCTTCCTTTATCTGAAATGAAAATAAATCCAACTTCTGTTGATCACTTTGACTAACTTGGGGTAAAGTTCAGTGGTTGATAGATTTTACCATTTGCACCACAACAAAATTCCCAACCTAGTCTGCGGGTTTGGCACGGTCCTTTGATTTGATCAATGCACGAACTGCCTGCCTTAATTTGTCCGTAATCAGCACCTGCCCTGGAAAACACTGCCTACCGAGGGCCTACTTCCGAGTGCAATTATCCAGAAACGTCAAATATAAAATCAGCCCACTGTAATTGTAAATGTGCTCAAAATTTTACGAAATTGATGAAGGACTCTGCATATTGACTCCAACAGTGGTAGAACTTTCTTACTTGTATCGCCCAATCACAAAACGTTCAGTGAACAAAATAGTGAACTAAGTATCAAATTTCATTTCGCCTGTTCGCCGAGTTTGGCAATTTGTTTTGCAAACGTGAATCATGAATCATGTTCACATTCACATTTGGGCATGGTGACCGACTTATCGATCTATGTTGACGTAACTCGGTGGATTCACTTGAAGTTACAACGGATTCCCTTGAAGTGGAAAAGATATAGATGAGATCAGTATTAAAGCTTGCTATCACTGTAATATGCAGGTTTCTTTGGTTTTAATAATAATGCCCATGTCTAGGATGAGTTTCATGCTTCCAACAACCCACTGTACCTTTTGGGTAGGGAGATAAACTGATATTGTATTCTATCCACAGAAGATAATTGCATTTTACTTTCAAGATTTCCAAATACTCAAATTCGCAGAGTTTCTAGTGCGGAAAATGTTTGTTGTCAAACGTAAAAACAAGATGCAAAGTCAGATGTGTTTGCCCACACGTGTATGCATTGAAAACGTCACAGATGGGATTTTTACTGGTGCTTAACTTCCTCGGTTCCCATATGAAGTCAGTCTCTTGTCATGTCGTATTCCATGGTGATTCGAAGAAGTGGTAGATTACAGAAAATGCAACATAACTCGTTAGCAATTAGCATATATTTTAAAACTTTTGGGAAATTGATTCGGCTATTTGTGATAAAATAAACCCGATCGATGAAAACTACGTCAATTCTCTTTATTTATATTTACCTGTGGAATTTAAATACACAATCTCACATAGTCTTTACTTATTGAATAAACTGAAATCTTTTATGATATCATCAATT